CCCAAGAAAGAACCTATGGGCGTTCCTGCAAACATACGTCAGTTGTTATGGGTCATTCAATCACTATATGCTGATAGCGAGCCTGCGTCAGAGTAAATGGCGTCAAGTCGAAACCTTTCAGCGTTGGCAGTGGTCTCCGGTGAAGCTAAATTCTGTCCCCTCTCCTGTTTGTACATGGATGGAATAGCCAGGCGCAGCCAAGGTGATGAGTATATCGGTGTAGGAGATGTGGAGACGAGAAAGTTGCTGTTTGCAGACGACCTTGATTTATTAGCTCTACTGAGACTGATCAACAGTGCCCTCCGGTAAAGTTCCCAACCAAGTGCGACGTGACCGGCATGCGTGTGAACGCATCTAAAACGAAAAGCCTAGTGCTTCCTCGTTTGCCTGCCCGTTGCGCTCTTCAGATAAAGGGAGACGCAGCGCAGCAGGTGGAGAAGTCCAAGTACCTTGGAGTCGTATTTCATAGTGATGAACATTTTGAGGAAGAGATCGACCAGCGGATTTAAGTCATCAGTAGCGTTCTGCCCGAACCATTATGACTAAACCAGCACTGAATCTGAAGACGAGGTTGCCTGCAATTACTCGAAATTCATTCCTATCCTGAAATACTGTCACGAGTCGTGGGCCACTACCGAAAAACTGTGACTGTGAGTACAAGTGGTTAATTGGGCTGTCTCAAACAAACCGATGCGCTTGCCTGTCTCGCTCAGAATCCAGAGCTGAGGTGTCTGAGACTACCTTGGTACACAGCAGCTGCTGTTCAGATTGATATATCATAACCGCAATGGTTTAGCTATGTCCTGCGAATGCCTCCAGAGAGGAAGGAAAAACAGTTCCTACTTGGCCAACGGACCGAGTGAAGACATCGCGAACGGGAAGAATGATCTGGGGTAAATGTCTCGACAAACTCTGTTCCAGACTGGAGCTACCTTCTGTCACCGTATCAGAAAAGTTGGCGACAAAACTGTCTGACACTGCTGCGTCAGCGATCCATTTTTCCGATGGTCGTAGAAACCGACTGAGTGACAGCTGAAATCACTTGCTCTGCTATCTTTTATTTGACAAACGTCCTTGTTGTTCTTAGCTGTCATGGAGATCGCGGATCAAATCACCGATAAAATCCGTTCTGGCTCATGCTAAAGATATTGAAATACTACGTTACTAGGATATGAAGCGAGCATGGCCTTAAACGCCTTCGAAAGCAAAGTATGGCATTACTGTATTGCTGCGTTAATGATGGAAAAGATTAAGAGGCAGAACACTCCACACACAAGAATGTTAAGTCTCATTGAAAAAAACACTCGTTAAAGCCATCCCATAAGCGTATGATGTATCGAAATTTCAATTCTTTAATCTGATCTGAATATCCATGCGGTGAAAAGCTGGTCTAGAAAAAAAAACCAAATCAAACAGTGGTCATTGTACAGTAGAGTAATTATGAGCACGACGATGTCCTTCAGGTTATTATGGACAAATCAATCAAGCAGTAAAATGACCAACAATTTCGCTGGATTCCACTTCGATTAGGGCGCAGTTATTTTCCCAAATACACAGATTCATGGCTCGCTGCTCTATTATGGTTTGTGCACTTGAAGTTCGAAGTCATGAGAGAGAATGGCGTATCAGCTATTAGTTGCAATCATTTGTTTCGTAAATGTTTCCTAGAATAGGCTTATATCTTTTACAAAACTGGATGTATTCTCTTGAACGAGTGCGAAAGTGTGTTCTATTCCGCTTCAGCATGAATATATTTCCTCCCAAGCTGATTAATTCAACAATACTGCCTGTAACACAGGAGCTGACCATTATTGCCATTCCTTGTAAAATCAGATCATGTCTATTACAGAAACGCTTCCACGCGGTGAGAAGGTCGATGATCCAGAAAACAAGGAATTTGGTAGAAGATTCAAGTTATATTCTGTTGATCGAT